ATTCATTTGTTTCCCGGGTCTGTCACTGGTGCTGCCGCCCTTTTCCGCTGGCCATGTAGCATTTCTATGCATTTGTCTCCCATGTGATTTCTTCCTTTTTGTCTTTCAGGCTTGGTGCCTGCACTGCTGTTTTCTGCCCTGTCCGCTGGAACAGGTTCGCCTGTGAAAGGCTTTTGCTCCTTTGAAAGGGGTGCGTGACTGTCTCCGGGATTGCATTCCTGCCGCACTGTGTAACTCTCTCAGCTCTGTTTTCCTTTTCAGGCAAGCGTTGGATGAATGACCGGATTGGATTTCGGCGGCGTGGCAGCGATCTCTCTGTTCAGTTGGGACGGCATACGTCAGTCACCAAAAATCAATTTCATGTCACATCCTTCGCTCCTCATGCTTCCATTTCTTGTCCTCACGTGGTCAGCTCCCCGCTGATTGAGCAGCATGACCAGCATCATGTTCGCACTTGAAGAATAATTCCCCAAAAGGTTTACTGTTAGGGCTTCTCAATTCTTTCTTAAGATGTGTCCGCCCGCTCTGTACTGCTGTGTCCGTCTCTGCCTTGCAATCCACTTACATTTGTCTCCCAGCTCTGGGCTGCTGTTGCCGCCTCTGCCTTGCAATCCTTTGCCTCCAGCTCCGGACGTCGCAAGCTCTAGTTTCGACTTTGAACAACACAAACTGTTTGGGGTCTACGGTGGTGTAATTATCAGCAAGTGTTTTGAGTTGAGTGGCTCATACTGTTGCATCGACTCATTTGGCACCGATGTGGTGAGATGCTTTGGGCACAGTAAAATGAGCCGATGATCATGTATAGGACGTAGAGACTTTAGTGCTTCGGTGTATGAATGACTGGAGCTCATTGCTTGGTTGTCGGCCTTTGACCTTGTTATTGGAGCAGTTTCCTTCCAAACCGCAGGAGGAGATGAACACCGCAGAGCAAGCGCTCAACAGAACAAGGTTTGAAGCTTCGGGTGTGAACTTTGCAAGCTCTGTGATGCAAAGTCTTTGCATCCCAATCTTGAGAACTATCAGTGGTGTAGCACCCAAGAGTGTTTCCGAAGGGGCTCGGTGCAGATTCATCGGCAACGCTTGGAGCTTGTCCAGAAATCGATGGAGGAGCTGCAGGCATGAAGACGATAGAACAGCTTTGGCCAGTTGCCTTTCACTTTTTTCTGTGTGCTTGCTGGGAGGCAAAAAGTAAGATTCTCGTGGCCGACTTTGCGACTGCAGAAAACAATATTGCAAGACAGTCCACCGATTTGAGGAGATGTTTGCAGTGACTGCTCAAGACACTCTTACAACTTACAACATAATGTTGACAGAACATTTTGCCAAGTAAGAAGTAAGACGGTCAAGGACACTGCAAGAACTGGCCAGAGTGGATGATGCTGACGTTGCCAAGGTGGGTACATCCTCCAGGTTGTTGTTATTCTTTGCTTGCTCCACAAGCCTGCGGTTTAAGTTGAATGATGGATCGAGTTCATGTGTGCCGGCTGCGTAGTTGCACGCACCTGCCTTTTGAATTCTTGCTGAGGCAGCTCAGGCCTTGGTGGAGGCTGAGGCGGACGTAACAAATGCGAAAGCGGCCTACGTGGGCAGTTTGTCGACCGCAGATGGAGAGACAATAATCAACAATAGACCGTATGAGGATGATTGGTGTTGGGAAGCGTATTAAGGCACTTTAGCTGATGCTCGTCGCCAATGTCAGCCCACGGAGCAGGAGTACCAGGCAAACTGCTTCGACAAAGAGCGTTCAACTTCCAACTGTTTGATGGGGCAATCTTGGAATGTGAGAAGAGTTTTGAGCAATTACAGTCTTGCAACCCAGCTGTTCTGGAATGAACAATATGACAATATGCAAATACATGTGTCTAGATAGTTACTTATTAGAAGGAAACTTTGATTGGGAGTCAACAAACTACACGCATCAGGCTGTTACCGCTGCGCCAATGCATTTTCTACATGACACCTTGCTGGTATTTTTTCTGAAACAGTTGACAGTTGCATTAAATTCTGAGTGTCCAACGCAACGCCCGGTTCGTCACAATGCAGCATGGAAGGAAAGCTGTTTTTTGTGGGTAGCATCCAAGCGGAATGGGACAACAGAGGTAAAGAGGGAAGAGAATCGGTTGGAGGGCTGGAGGCCATTCCTATTTGGTTGGAGGCCATCGCTATTACTTCTTATCAGGGTGACAAACATCGCACTCACTCCATGGGAGTTCCCGGCATTTGCACTGGTGAAATCTCGACTCATCGCCCAGGGTAGATAAGCTAGAACTGACAAGATATTGCTGCTTTTGTAAGGTACGAATGAAGCCAGTTCATTTAGTGGAGTCTTTTCCAGATTGCCTAGTGTTCTTGTCGTTGGGTAGTGGACTGTGGGATTGCGTATTCGTTTCCAACCTGAAGCCTTAAAACCTGCTAGTTCAACGAACCCTTCACCACAGATCAAGTGGAGCTGCAAAGATGTAAAGAGCAAAGAGGTGTAGACTCTGCAGTATTGGGTTGAAATTGCAAGCCCCGGAAGTGCTTTTCAGCGATCCTTGGGAATGAGTGGATGCCCCTCCCCGAAAAAGAAAGCAAGCCACCAAGCAGACAAGCAAATCCGACCAATAAAGGACAGCCAGTAAAGCCAATGACGACAAATGCAGACAAAGTGCTCAAGCATTGGAGCAAGTGTGATCAAATATAGGTTTGCATTGTTCTGCGCATCACCATAGTACGGTAACTGGGCATTGCCCTGTCGTTGTCTTTGTCAAGCTACATGACAGTTTTGACATGTGGGCATTGGCTGTACAGGTGCAGAAATGACTTTCTTGTAGCTGCAAAGTCATTGGCACAGAAGCACAGGTGTATCTTCACTTCCGGGAACTTGTGAGCTTGGCAAAGCACATCGTGGTGTGTGCCTTATGCCTAACACACTTATGCTTCCGATTCCAAAGCTCTTTCGGTCCAGGTGCAACGACTCCTTGCTCTTCAATTGGCAGACCAATTCTGGGTGACACAAGATCACATTTTCCGAGACGCTCAGGCAAATGCGGAGTTGTTCGAGTGTGTTGTTCGATTCTTTTTGTGACCAAGAAGCCTTGCTACCATTCTCAATTGTCTACTATTTTTGAGGCTGCTCATGAAACTGTCCTTGATGACCTTGCAGATGGTGCCGCTGAATTACATGAACGATCAGTCGTGCTGGCAGCTGCAGACACTTATTCTTCTAGTGCGGAGGACCGATTTCAAGACAGGGCGGACAGCAGACGAATAGTGCTATTTTTCTAGAATGAGGGCGTTGCACTTGGATCGAAATATATAGCCACATCTTACAGGAGTCCTAGATTTGCATCAGGAAAAATCTATGCTTTCTCCATGAAGGGAATAACTCATACACAAATACACACCTGGTCTAAGCATCCATACCCATGTATATGAACTTTGGCCTCCTTGCATTTAACTGGGAAACATCAACTTGTTTTGAACACACAATCTCTCCAGGAGCCTGTTCAGATTGTTTGGATGTTTCGAGGATTTTCAGTTATATAGCTGCCACATCCTAATCTTGCCCGCATTTTGGCCTTTATTCCACTCAAATTGTACTGTAATTACAACTAGACGCCTTTGCTCATCTCATTCGGTATGCCTCAAATTTGCTAGCATCCATGTATCTACATCGAACTTTCATCTGTAATTTTGCAATGTAGGTGTGAAAACAGCGTTTCAAAACCCTTGTTTGACGAATACATGCCCCCTATTGTCACCTGCTTTTTCTTCACATATATTCCATGGTGGTTTGGTGGCTTTGTAGCGCCAATCTTCTCAATTCTTCTCCGATTCTCTGGCGGGAGCTTCTTCGAGTAGTGAGCTGCCAGGGTTCCAGTAATCAAGGTTCGGATCACCTGACCAATGTCCCAAGGGCGAGCCTTTGCCAACGCCAATTTTTGCTGCGCAAGTTTGTCCCCTCCGCGTGGGCCAAAAAAGCAGGCTTCATTGCTTTTGCCCCAACCGACCGCGTTAAAAAGACTTCGCATCCTTTGCAGTATTTTGTACTGAGAGGTATACAGGCAAAAGACAATGACATCACTTTCTTTAGTGATTGCTACCCTGCCTTGGGGGAAAGGCTCTGCGGAAAGTCGTCTCTTTTTCCCAAACACAAGCGAAGTCTGTTGGTTGGAAAGGGACCTACTTTTAGGTTGTATGCTGGGGCTCTCATCGAAAGGTGTTTTAACGCTGTACTGGCAACTCATAAGGGGTTAACTAATAATGCCTGCTGAAGCAATGAGTCTCTTATTCTGTAGTCACTGTAGTGGGTCCTGCAAGCAGTCCACAAGGAATTTTCTACATACATGCGAGACAAGTACAGGAAGCAACACAGGCATTTCCAGGCTTAATGGAACACCTGTGGACTTGGACAGATTACGCAAAGATAGCGAGAGCTACTGGGAGAGCTAGTGGGGTTCTTATTTCCAGTATAGGAAGAGGTGCCCTCGTTGCAGGGTGTTGCTGCCAGATGTTTGTGGTACTTGTTGCTCGGGTTAACTTGTCTCGAGTGGCAAGAACTTGTGCCAGATGAGGTGTGTTTTGCGCTAAAGCTTGATTGGTCTACCTTTCTGTATGGGCTACCTTTGTGCAGTTTTGGACCTCGCCTGGATCTCGCCCAGAGCCATCATCCTCCTGCTGCGGCTGTTCGTGTGCTGCTGCTGGTGTTCTGCTGCTTGTGTGCTGCTGCCATTGCTTGGCTGCTTTCCAGAATTTCTGCAGCGTTCCATTTGGACTGACACGCAGGAAGCGGATGTAAATCAATCAAACCCACACTCCTTCAGAACTAGCGTTCCATTGGTCTTTGCACTCTTTGGGTCGGTCATTCAGGTGACAAACCTGAATGCCCAACCCTTGCCTAGCAAATATAGCCGTTGGCCGTAATTATCATTCATTTTCTTGCATAATTTTTGCAGCCCCGTTTCCTTTCTTGAAAAGTCTTATTGGTAGTTAGCCCCTTGTCCTTACCTCATGCTGATCAAATGGTTAACATCGACAATTACAAACTGGCAGTAAAGCAATTGAATTTGCGGAGAAAGAGCTAGGAACGAAGAGGAAGACACATATCAATAGTGCAAAATAGGACTTCAGGGTTCGAAGAGCGCCAAAAAAAAAGGTGCAGCTAAGAACTGAGGTTGCCAAACAAAGTAAACCTGTACACACACTTTATGTGCGTGACAGTTTGCTCCAAAAGAGTTTGCGGCGATGACGCGCTGATACAGGGTGAGGCCTTCGCAAAATCAAGGAAGGATGAAATGCTTGAAGAAAAGAACAGTGCTTTGCAAGGAGGACACTTTTGTAAGGATAAGGTGTGGTTAAAGGATGAGACTCTTGGAGTGAAGGAATGATGCCTTGTTAAAAAAATCCATTTGCACTGACATTATTCCAATCATTTCTCCCACCCACAAAAACTTTTGAGGTCACTGTGCACATTGATACCCAAAGACCGCTTCAGTTGTGCTTCTTGCAGTTTGCTGCTCATGTGCGGTGTTTTGCCTGGCGACTCGACGTCGCTACTTTAATAACCGCAACCAAAATATGTGTCAGCGCTGACGTTCAGTTGGTGCACTGTGCTGTTTTGGACGCTGAAAGCCAGCAGCGCAGAGGCTCAGCAGGGAGCGGGCGCTTAACTGCCGTACCAGATCTCACCTCACGAAGTTCAGTGTACCTTGATTGTGCATTGAGGAGTCTGCTTTTCCGAACGGTCATTATACAACAACAGAGCCCTCGCAAGAAAACCAAAGAGCTCGTACCTGTCGCCTCTCTATACTCGAAGGACTTGTATCTGGCGCTAGCTGTGGCCTCGAACCTGATAGCTATACCGCCGGCGGTACATGGCCTCAAAAGAACTAGCGATGCCTCCAACTATGGTTGCAAGCTACTAGCTATGGCCTCTAACCTATTAGCTATGGCCTCCAACCTTTAAAAGCCCTTCGCCCTAAGAACCCTAATATAACCCTTCAAGAATCCTTAATCCTAAGAGCCCTCCAAACACCTTCAACCCCAACCCTTAACCCTAAGAACCTTTAAGGTCAGCAAACCTCAGCCCCAAAAATTACGTGAAAATAACTTCTTTGCATCTAAATGACACGAAAAACTCAGCCAACCGTTTAGCGCCTCAAAAACTTCACCCTAAGGGCCATTCACCCTAAGAACGCTTAACCCAAAGAACCCTCGACCCTAAGAGCCCTTAACCCTAAACCCTAAGAACCCTTCACCCTAAGAACTCTTTTAAGCCTTTTGCCTACTAGCTATGGCCTCTAACCTACTAGCTTCAACCGTAGCAAAAATATGTATGTCAGTGCCGATGTTCAGTTGGTGGTGCGCTGTGTTGTTTTTGATGCTGAAAGCGAGCAGCGCAGAGGCCCAGCAGGGAGTGGGCGCTTAACTGCCATACCAGATCTCACCTCACGAAGTTCTCTACTGGGAAAAAGGAAGGGCACCGTTTTCTGTCTTACAGCGCTAGGCTAACGCCCAAAGCTCGCTGTTTGCGCAGAGGTGAGTGCTTGCGCGCATGTCTAACATACACTGTACCTTGATCCTGCATTGAGGCGCCAACGGGCCACCAAAAATACCGCGTTTTGTAGGTTGCTTTTCCGAAAGGTCTGTGAATTTCCTCATCCATGTTCACTGTCTTGATGTTTTGTCTTGCCAGCAAAATGCAGTTTGAGCTTGAGAAAAGCATGTTGCTCTGAGTTCTGCGCAAGGGGCTTGCTTTTTGAAGTTTTAAAGGAGACGCCGCCACATGAACTTGTCGCCCAACTCAAGTGTTTAGTGCAAAAGCGGTTGACAGGGTGCGGCAAGAGGCATAGCCGTAAAGATTCAGGTGTGTGGTGATAATTTACAATGCAAGGCAATTCATGATATATACAACCCAACTCACACCATGTTGTCGCTGCGTGCCTGTGCTGCTTCTTGCGGCTTCTTCACGGCGACAGGCGCGAGATCTGTGAGTATAGAGAGGGTTCAGAGCACCGCGCGCAGCGACCGCGCACAGGCGCGAGTTCTGTGTGTGTAGAGCGGGTCCAGAAGCCGGCGACAGGCAAAGAGGCTCCAGAGTACCCGTTGCGAACGGCGACAGATACCGGAAGCCGCGGAGGCACCGGCGACGATGGTGACGGTATTCCAGAAGTCGGGCAGGCGCGCGGAGACCACGCTGACAGGTACGGTGCGAGTTCTGTGAGCGCAGAAAGGCTTTGGGGGCCGCGCGGGTACGCGGCGACCACAGCAGCAGGCACGAGTTCTGTGGGTATAGGAAGGCCTCAGAGGCCGCACACGCACGCGGCGACCATGGCCACAGGCACGCGGTCTGGGAGTATATAGAGGCTCCAGAAGCCACGCAGGCGCGCGGCGACCACGATGACAGATACGAGCTCTGTGAGCCAGAAGCCGCGCATCCCGCTGAGCCGCCCACGCAATATCCGCTATTCTGGGTCAAACAAGCGGTCGGAAGGGTGGAAGCAGCCACTTGGATGCCAGATCACTGGTGGAAACTGCGAAGCGTGGCAGGGACTGCTTGGAACCCTCAGCATCCCAAGCGCCACCCCGCCAGGCGTAAGCTAGGCGGGTTGGCGGCCACATTACAATATATTACAATAATAAGAGTCATGCTTCCTACTGGCACTGGTTGTGGGTTAAAAGCTGGTCTGGATCAGGATCAAGAGCAGGCCTTTCTAGAAGCACAAAGCCACTTCATCAAGAGCCAGGAGAATGTTGTAAGCTTTTCTCCGCGCTGCAGCAGAAGCGCTTTTGCAAAGCCAGCGCACTCCAGGAGAAAGTAGATGAAGTCTTGGCATTGAGACGCAAGGTGGGATGGAGAAAGGGGGTCTTCTTCAAGCCTTCTCAACGTGAGACCTGCACCTTATAGATTACAAATAGATGTTGGAAGAGCAATATTGTGGTGTTGAACTGACATCCAACACTATACCATTTTTTAACATCTTCAAGTCCAGCTTCTAGCTGTTTCTGGGGTGTAGTTTCTTGACTGCTGTCGTTTTTTGTCCAACATGGGCTGAGTAATTGTTCCTCATTGACGGCTAGAATTTGGTCATTGACCGTTGGTTGCCGAGCTTGTGGTGGCGACAGCCCAAAGCAGAAAATGATGCACTCCCGATGAGGCTGACTTCGCCGCATCTCACCAATTGAGTGTGTACGGCAAAGCTGCAGAAAATCTGGATCTTGCCAAAAAACATCTCCACAACAGGAGCGGTGAAGTTGGCTTGCCATTGCCACCAAACCTCGACCTTTTGTTTGGTTGTCAGTGGTGTAACCAAAAACTTTTGGAATCTCCTGTTTCAGACAACATGCCAATGTGTGAAACTTCAATGCTCCATTGAGGAGAATGGCATTGGAGGGAGCAACCAATCAGACAGATCAACTGGAAAAGGTCAGAGCCTAAGGGCACGGTCAGAACGAAGCAAGGCTATATAGGCACTTGTTTCAAAAGGTTGTCAACCTCTTCACGAAAGTTAGCAAGGAAAGGGTTCTCGACCAAGTTGCTCTCTGAACGAACTTTTTGGACGTTCTCTGGAGATGTCTGTCTTGGGATCCCTGCGATGGTTTCTCTTGGTGGCCGGTGGGGGTCGACTTTTCGTATGCCACGCAGTCCCAAGTTTACATGTGATCCAGGCAGAGGCTTCCACAGAGAAACGATACCAATTCACTACAAAAGGGAACACTGGATTCGATTTGCATTGTTTTTCATGTTTCCTGCTTGAAGTTACTTTGGTTGGTGGCTGCGTTTGGCTTCACTTGTCAAAACACATTTGACAGGCTTGCAGCCCAATGCGAATGAGTTATCGTGAATTTCACGCTCGTATCAGGACCTCCTAGCTGCCATTCAAGCTGAAGCGATGGCAAACGAGTCTTTGAGGGCAACGAAGGCTCAATTTAGGCAGCGTTGCTCAAGATTTGCTTTGGGCATCCTTCTTTCGAGGTGTGGCAGAAGGAGTTCAACGCCTCTTTGCAGCTTGAGAGGATTCAAAAAAGTCAATGTCAACTCCTGTTGCTGATTGAGCATTCTGCAATGTCCCCTTCGAAGGAAAGAAGAAACTCTAGTTGAAGCCAAGCATGAAGAGGACAAAAAAGCTGCCGCAAAGGTCGGTCTGATGTCATGTTTGGCCGTGTCTTTTTCTTGTTGGTTTCTGAGCGTGGAGGCCGAAGTATCCAAACATGAAGCGCGGATGCGGACATTGTTGGAGACACATAAGCGGCACTTGGCACTTCTTGATACTCAGGTAGGGTGTGGAGGAACACGCAGGAAGGCAGCGTCACAGGATGCTTTGACTGCCAGTGAAACCATGTCATGAACGCTGTTTTATTGCTGCATCTACAAAGCATTTAAAAATAGACATGGTCAGACCCACCCAAAAACAGCCAATCCATCCTTGGCGGATGCAGTCTTGATGAGCCGTAAGGTTCTTTTGCAACGCTTTTGCCTCATTTGCCAGAGTACAATATTTAAAGATATTTAAAGTACAGAAGCAGGAAATCCTTGTCCTTTTCACAGCGAACGAATGAACTCTCTCGGAAAAGTCATTGAATCAACCAATCTGAATGCACTAAATGCACCCTCAAGGCAGTGTGGTTCATGGCGTATAAATTTGATAGGCTCTCTCGCAGGTCGAGCTTCCCCAAAAAGACAAAGCAAAAGCTGAGGCACCAGCGGACGAGCTCCAGAGAGTTCCTGACAGTGTGACTTTGTCAATTTTTCTGTAGTATATAATAGGCCAAGATTGCTTTCGACGCAGCTGAAAAAAACGTCGTGGAGGCGCAGGTGCAGCCGGGATTCATCAGCTGCAAATTTTCATGTTGCTTGGGAGATACTACTTTTAACGCACAAAGTTTCCTGCCAGTCAAAGCTGGACGGTCTCGTGAAGACGGAAGCCGAGACGCACGTAAAGATCTCTGAAACGTACGAGGAAGGGAGGTTCAGTTTTGCTTTTGTAAATTACAGTAGGTTTTGTTTGTGCTTCTGTTGAATGAGTTGAATGAGGGGATTGAGTGACATGAGTCAGGAGTTGAATCGGCTGAAGATCGAGCACACTGAAGCCGAGAGGGAGTACCAAGACCAGGAGAGTTGGAGATAGGGTTGAATCAATCGGTTCTCATGCACCAAGTTTGTGGCAGCTGCTGCAATAGCAGTGCAAGCAAGCTACAGAGCTGTAGTGTCTCGAGAACTGGCAGTTGGTTCTGAAGAGCTCCAGAGGCACACTTCATAGAATCTGTGCATGCCTTCGCAAGTGTTGACCATTTTCATGTATTGATAATTCACAGAGCGCCCCAGTCTCCTTTTGTTGAAACGCTTCAAGCGGCGCTTCTTGTTTCGTGGTGATGCACTGACAAGTAGGCGGCGATAGAGACAATTTTGCAATCACTTTCATTGCTGAAATAATCTGCAGACTTTCTGGAATTAATATTCCCAATTCCTTTCTCATGATGTACATGCTTTTCGTTTCAGGACCCTGAAGACAGGAAAAGAAGTTTTACAACTTCACTACAATAGGGTCAGGTGCATAAGCCACCTTGCAGGAGTGGAACCTGAAAAGATGTGCAGATTTTCCGTGCTGGCTTTGACGCAAACAACGTTACTTCAGAAGAACAATATTAATATATATACATATATATATATGGGTGCTCGCTGATTAGGCTTAGGGGGTCCCTTGAAGTACCATTAACATAAACAATGAGAGTCACACACACGCACAAGTCAAGAAGTTGCTACCGCTCGAACTTTGTTGTGACTGAAAACCAGTTGTCTGCAACATAAAGCCAGAAGACACCCAAAAAGCAAACAAATCATGATCTGGAAACTATGCCCAACCCTAAAGCCAGAAAACACAAAATAACAATGATCTGGAATCTATGCCCAATCCTAAAACCAGAAAACACAAAAACCAATGATCTGAAACTATGCTCAACCGAAGCCAGAAAACAAAAGAACAATGATCTGGACACTATGCACAAAAAACAATGCGACTGCCTTAAGCAGAGTGGCAAGTTGAACACCAAGCAAGAATGCACTTTGTTTATCGTTGTCAACCTCTAGTTATTGAAGCATAATTGTTTTCACATTCTTCAAGGTAATAATGTCATTACCAATATGACAAATGCATTAGAGCTTGTCATTGAAAACACATGATTGTGATTTGGTATACTCCCTGCACATCAATAATTCCCTACTTCATATTCATGTTTTTCCCAAACAGCTTTGCTGTGAGGGGTTCTCAATTCTTGCATAGAAACGATGCTGGGCCAAGATGATTCCCGCCCTTTGTTTCCCCTTGTCTCCCATGGCGTGTCTGGATGCTGGGCTGAGATGATTTTGCTTTGTCTCCCCTTGTCTCCCATGGTGTGTCTGGATGCTGGGCTGACATGATTTTGCTTTGTCTCCCTTTGTCTCCCCTTGTCTCTCATGGCATGTCTGGATGCTGGGCCGGGATCACTTTGCTTTGCCTCTCCTTTCCTTGTCTCCCATGGCATGTCTGGATGCTGGGCTGAGATGATTTTGCTTTGTCTCCCTTCCTCTCCTCTTGTCTCCCATGGCGTGTCTGTATGCTGTGCTGAGATGATTTTGCTTTGTCTCCCTTTGCCTCCCCTTGTCTCCCATGGCGTGTCTGGATGCTGGGCTGAGATCTTTTTGCTTTGTCTCTCCTTGTCTCCTCTTGTCCCCCATGGCATGTCTGGATGCTGGGCTGAGATGATTTTGCCGACCGCCGCTGCTGTTTGGGGTTGATGCTGGTGTATTTTTTGCTTTACAGTTTCTTAATCTGACTTGATACACGTTTACAAGTCGTATTTCTGAATACCTTGATGGTGAAAGCATCACAAAGCACTATGTACTGTAATGCCAGCACGCTTCAGTTTAAAGTAGGCTTTACACATTGAAAACATGGTGGTGTAAAGCAGGCTCTTTGATATATTTGTATCCACTTTGTAATGGTGCCTTATCCTTCAAATACCGTAATATGCTTCCTGTTCAATGTTCACGTGATGCATGGCAACTATGGTTTCCCTCGCTTTTCTTCTTCAACTTCTTCCCAAGTCACTACACTTGCACATATATGAGCTAACGCCCTCGGAAGTAAAGACGAAACGAGGGGGAACGACTTTCTTCGTAGGCTTTGGGCTCACAGCTGATGCAAGCGTGTCGGTTGTGTGGTTTCCTAACTGGAGAGAGTGTTTCGACTTGTCCCTTTTGCCGAGCCAACAATCGTTTTTGGAACACCCTGGGTCGATTTCCTGCCAGGGCTCGCGGCTGGGCTTTGAACTCCCTGAGGGTTTGGACAAGCGTGCTGGAGGAAGAGCTGGAAAGGGTGAGCGAGGCAGAAGCTCGACAGCAAGCCGCTGAGCAAGGCAGCGACCCCCAAGAGCAAGGGGGACAGAAGGAGGCTGGACTGTGTGAAGTCGAGGTCCAAGAAGAAGGGAAGACTTCGAGTGGATCAAAGGTCGCAAAGGAGGAGAAGAGAGAGAGAGAGAGAGAGAGCGGCGCAAGAGGAGCAGGAGCGAGAAGAGAAGGGACAGGTCGCGCAGCAAGACGCGGAAGCAGAACCCATCGCCCGAGAGAAGTTGAAGAAAGCCAAGCCCTCAGTGAGACCACCAAAGACCCCGTCTACGTCTCCATCATGGGTAAGGAGAGGACCGCCTCCTAGCCTAAAACTCTTCCAGTGGAAAGAAGAGAAGGAGCGCCGGCGCCGATCGCGCATCCCACTGGCAGTCAGTCGCGTGTGGCAAAGGCAGCCCCAGTAGTGGGGAACAAACAAGGCCAAGGGAAGGAAGAAGAAGGAGGCCCAGTACCTCTTCCTCAAAGCTTCAATGGCACCAAAGAGGAGACCAGCTGCAGCAGTTCTTTACGGGCGTGTTGGAAGAGCTAGGCCAGGAGACGGTCGAGAGCCTTTAGCCCCAGGAGAATGGGGAAAGAGGGCAGGACATCGAGCTGGAGGTGGAGTTGCAGGGCGCAAGTACAGAAGCGATCCTGCAGTGGGTTAGTGGAGCAGCAGTGAAGATGATGAGGCTGCATCTTTGTGGATACAAGTGCCCGGATCGACTGGATGCTGAGGACCTGTCGTGGATGATGAACCTGGTGGACGAGGAGAGGGGCAGAGCAGGAGGCCACCCCCCAGAGCCGCCTGGGGAGAAGAGCAGAGCAGAGGAGAGGAAGAGAAGGATCGAGAAAAGGAAAGAGGCCGCAGCAAAGAGAAGGGCCAAAGAGCAGCGGCGAAGAGAAAAAGAAGGATGGAGGCTGCAGGAAGATCTTTGAGAGGGGAGGCAAGAAAGAGCTCCCTCGGATCTATCGGGGGAACGGCGATCGACCCCGATCTTCGCTACAGGTGGAAATTTGCAGCCAAGGCTGCAAAAGAGGTGAAGAAGAAGCGCCGGAGCTCCTTGAGCAGCGGGCCCAGCGGCAGCGGCGACGAGAGCATCGAGCCCTGGAGCAGCGTGTGCGCAAGATGTGGAAGGTGGCGCCAGGCGCCTTGACAGCGGCGGCTTTCTGAGCCGGCAGACGTTTGTGCTGTCCTTACCATAGGCCTCTTCGACGGGATCGGAGCTTTGAGAGTCGCAGCCGACGATGGTCCGGTCATGGGCCAGTCGGTTCTCTTCTATTAGTCATGTGCGACGCATCAAGGAGTTGATCAAGCGCCACTTTAGCCTTGGGCTCAGGTGAAGTATCTGGCTGAGAGCGCAGCCTCAATGGATAGGTGGACCGAGGGATCATGTCAGAAGACTTTCGTGATTGGCCTGTGATGATTGACTCAAGTGGGGTTTCTCTAGCCCGAAGACCACGACTCTATCGGATGGATTGAGGAGTTCGTGTTCACCTCTAAAAATGGCTTCCGAAAGTTTTGGGTCTAGTGAGCTCGACGCCCAAGTGGATGCCCAAAGCTACCTCGCTCCGGCGTGCAAGAAGGTAAGGCGGCCCAGGTTTTTCCCAGGACGACGACCAGCGGGACTCGACAGGTTGACTGCTGAGGAGAAGCAGGGTTGGACGCAGGACAAGTTCCGATTTCCACCTTACCAGTATTCCCGTCGCCTCCTAGACCATCCGACGGACGGCGAAGCAACGGCATGGGAGTGAGGCGCGTGAGGAAAGAAAGAGCCCCATAGGCAATATGTGGAATGTGACGGTGATCCTGGCACGCCTGGCGAGCGCATTGTAGGGCTGTGTCCGAGGCAGAGCCCCCAGGACGCAGTCGAAGCCACGCGACCTGGGGTCCGTGCCATTGGAGGAGTGCTGCAACGCCAAAGCATGAAGCGTTCTCAACGAGAAGGAGAGCGAGGGGAGTGCGAGCTAGTTGCCAAACCCCTAAGCCTGGTTAGTTTGAAGGGAGAAGACATCATGATCCAAGCCCCCAGCGCAGAGACGCAATACCATCGCTCGCGCGTCAGTTTGCCAGCTGCCCTATGGTCCTCAAGAACAGTGATGGGATGGCGTTGGAGAATCCGGTCCAAGTTCATCCACATGGTTGACAGCCTTGTCTGTCTCCATTCGCTATCCAGGGGCAGAAGTAGTAGTAGAAAACTACGCCACGCCATCAGCCACGTCAATGCCTTGTTACTCGCCTCGGGCTGCCATGGGGGTATGGGCCTGCGTCCATACTTGGCGAAAGAAATTCGCTCATTTTGGCCTGCGGGACCACTCCTTTCGTCCCTACAGCTTGAGGAGGGAGGTGCGACCTCTATGGGTCGCTGGATCGCATACTCCTGTTGGGCAGGTGGCAGCCCGCCAAGACGGCTAGAATTTATGTAAATGAAGGGCTGGTTGGAATTGGATCAACTTGAAGAAACTAAAAAACTGGTTGGTTGGGTTTGATTACCCATTGCTTAGTTTGGCAACCAACCACGATTATGGCGTACGATGGCAATCCTACATGAAGTCAGCGAATTGTTTAGACCAACAGTTCAATCGGTCTTGGAACACTCCCCCAAGGGCCTTCCTAATCGGCGCCCGTGAACTGACTATAGTGAAGGGAACTGGTTCTGCTAAGCAAGCAGAAGATGAAGAGTGGCGCAAATGGACAATGCAATGGGTTGCTGCTCTTTCACCTTTTCTGGCAACTGCGCCGGCCTTTGATTCTTTGGGCGATCTAGCTACTGATTCTCTCAAACAAGTCTTGCGCTCCAGAGCAGGAGCTACTCTTCGTCGTCACTTGCCCGGGTGGCGGCTCTGGACAGAATTTGCCAAGAGCCACAGGTGGCCAGTGTTCGCTCCCCCGCTTTCAGACTTGGTCGCTTTTATCCGAGCTCTTGTAGAACATGGCAAGACTGTTGCTGGGGCCAGAACAGTGTTGAGTGGGCTAAAGTTTGTGGCAAGCTTGTTGCGCTGGGATGATTGGTTAGCGTCACTCTCCAACTCCATTGTGTTGGCTTGGTGCACTAACGATAAGCATTTGAAAGCGCGGAAGGAAGCGGTGCCACTCCCCCTGCACGCGCTTGCAGCAGTATTGAACGATCTGCAAGATGAAATCACTCAAGACACCTTGGATCTTGTTTCCTTCTTGATCATGGTCTGGGGTGCACTCAGATTCAGCGACCTGCAACGAGTCGATTGTCAGTCCCTGCAGATCCAAGATGGCATTATCCGCGGGAGTTGTTGGCG